AAAAAGAAAAAAAACTGGGCCAGGGCCTGGGAGTGGAGGAGGAGGAGAGGGGATCTCAAATTCTCTGCAACTCTATTCAATGCTTCGCAAATCTCTTCCTTTTCAAATCGATTTCCCAAATCGTAAGTCCAAATACCGACTTCCACGATTATTTCTGACTTGCAGAGAGCCTTGAGGTTTATATTGATGGAAAGGGAGATGGATACCCATTTCTTTCATTTGAGAACTTATGGACAAGTTTTAATCAATTTTTTGATACAAGAATGTGGAATAGAGAGAATGGATTTGACTGCCAAGTGCGCAATTGAAGTTCCATGAAGTGAAAGGTTCTCAAGGCCTCTAATGGCTTGGGAGCTCGACAATAGGTTCAACCAGTGGTTTAAAAAGCGGATCGGTGCCCCGGATCGGGCACCCTAAAAACCCATCCGGATCGGTGAATCGGCGTTTCGGATCGGAAATCGGTCAAATCGGTCAGATTTGGCCTTAAAAAAATCCAAAAAAAATATTAAAAATCATTATAAATATCGTTTTTTGGGAATCCAATAAGAAATAGGGGTACTACATTAAGAACTTTTAGATGTTCTTTCCCTGTATGAATAAATTTAAATTTTGTCTTATAATATCATCTAATTTTTAAAAAAACTATTTACAGCTATAATAAAAATAATACATTATATAATTTATAACATAAATAAATAAACAAATAAAATAAAAGATTTGGTTATCAATGTATAATTATTAATAATAAACAAAGGTGTGACCCTTACAAATAAATAAATCTACAAAAGTATAGAATTTAGAAACATAAATTTGTAATTATATTATAATAAAATTAGAAAAATATATAACTATCATACTTGTAATGTGGGATAATTGACAAAGCAACTTTAAAATAGATTTTAAAGTGGTTTGGGCTAGTGTTATTTTTTTAGCTTAAAATGTCCCATAAACTAGTAATTTTTTAATGGTCAATAAACTAGTATTAATATTATTTTTTGTTGTTCTAATATCCTATGAGTTAGTACTATTTTTTTCTTTTTAATCTCTATTAATCAATAACCTAATGCCTAATATCTAATAAAAGGGTTACTTTTTATAGTAAAAAGCTTCGTTTAATTTTAACAATGGATGTTAATACAATAGACAAAAAATAATGAGGGAGCACTTCACCATGTAAAAGACAGGGCACAAGGTTTTTGCTAGAGTCATCATGTGCATGGTACAAAAAACATTTGCCCCACATCGAAAAGATGAGGGAGCACTTCACCGTATAAAAGACATGGCACAAGGCATACGTTTGAGTCATCATGCGCATGGTACAGAACTACAGGGGCAAGGCCACTTGGTGTAAAAGATACGGTGGACATGAAAAAAGAAGCCAAGTTTTTACTGTACCATGCAGGCAGATAAAAAGTCAGGTTGTAAGGAAAATGTCAGGTGGACGTGCCAAAAAAGCCTGGTGGACACGAAGCGGTATCACCGATACCCGATTAAAAGCAAGGTTTTTAATTTACTTTCATTAAAAACAGTAAAAAAATAAAAAATGGAACCGCCCAGATCTCCGGATCCTGATTGGAAGCGGTATCACCGATCGGATCGGCAATTTTTCAAACACTAGGTTCAACAAATGGAGAGGAAGGTGTCTTCTGATATGGAACAGTACTCGTCTTTCGTTCTCATGAGCGGAGAGATCGATGTTAACTACTTTGCAGAGCTGAGGCGAGGGATAAGGGAAAATGTTGTGGTCATGTCAATAGGCATTGGAGTACTCTGCAGTTCCTGAGTTGAATATTAGGAGAGATTTTGGATGCTGGGTACAGCTCTGATGAGTTGTAAGACATGAGTCAGGTTAGGTTGTTTGGCTATGGCGGAAGTCCTTCAGTGCCCATTGTTGCTGTACTTTGTGGATTGTTCTCTTCTCTCTCGCTTTTTGTGTTGGTAACATGCCAAATCACAATTTCGAAAAGGACAATCAAACAGATGGTTTAATTTGAACAACTCCCAATTGCAATTCAGCACAGAACAATCAAATACCTCTATAAAACAAATAAGAATACTTCAAACTAGAATAAAGAAAATTGCAATTTAAAATTTTTAATGAACTCTTGAATTTGAGAATCAAATTGTGCCTTAAGCAATAAATAGAAGTTTTAGCTTATACTATGGAAGTTTGAGGTCCTCTATGGAGCACCTTCCATCACATGAATACATTTTGGTCACCTAGAACGAAAAGACAAGAGGCTCTACATCCTGCATATAACAAGGTGAAGGGCTCATAACCATAAACTTTTGGATGTGGAAAAAAAATTACAACGTGAAAAACATCACCAATCTTAACTTTTCGGATACAAGTATGAAAAAAGTATCATAATGACAGAAAGAATAAATGAAATGTTGAGAAGGTATTCTGAACGGAAGAAGGGCTAGCCAGTGCCTTTGTAGAGAAGATCGAGACACACCAGCAAAAGATTTTACTTTCTGGCAAGGATGAAGAATTTTTCTTACAAAAGCCCTCCATCAGTGGGATGGGCATGTGTTAGTGAAGGGCCCCTGCTAGAATCAATCGGGGGGAAGTATAAATTTTGCCAAGGAGGACTAAGAAGAAATTTCAGGACCCAAGAGGCTCTTTCTTGCTTTTCTAGCAAAAGTGGACGAAGGGAAGGACAAGGAGCAAAGGATAATTATTTGGTTTTGGTGGCAGATTTTCCTGAGGGGCTTCTTCGAATATACACACACACACACACACATACAATATATATATATATATATATAAGCTAAAAAACGCCTATAGGCAAAAATGAACAGTGTTCGCCACAGTCATGGACTTGCTATGTCCGTGGCGGTTTATTGAACAGAGCCGAAATGGACGGCGCGTGGTCGGTGGCGGTTTCCGTGGATTTTTTGACTGTTCCGTGACGGTCGGAAAATCCTCGCCGCCGGAAAAAAAAAGGCGGCAATGGTGCTATGGGCAACATCACTGTAGCATCTCGCCCATAGGCATTATGTGTGTCTATATATATATATATATATATATATATATA